AGCAGCATTTTTTTTTTTTTTTTTGGACCGGGGATCTAACTCAGGACTTGTGTGCTTGAGAGGCAGGCAGTGGAACCACTGAACTAAATCCCCAGCCCCAAAGCAACATGTTAATGGCGCAAAAATGGACATGTGGATCAATGAAACAGAACAGAAGATATAGAAACAATCCCAGCACATTTAGCTATCTGGTCTTTGAAAAAAGAGCCAAAAACATACACTGAAGTAAAGATAGCCTCTTTAATAAATAGTTCTGGGAAAGCTGACTATCCACATACAGAAGATTGGATCTGGACCCATATATCACATCATGTATTAAACTAAAATCAAAATGGATCAAAGATCTAAATGTTAAAACAGAAATACTTAATCTGCTGTGAGATAAAATAGGTAAAACTCTGGAAGATATAGACATAGGCGAGGACTTTCTTAACAGAACCCCAGTGGCACAAGAAATAGTACCAAGAATTAACAAAGGAGATCATATTAAAATAAACTTCCACACAGCAAAAGAAAAAAAAACAAAACAAAAACAAAGTGAAGAGACAATCTATAGAATGTAAAAGAAATTACCAGCTATTCCTCAGGTGAAGGACTAATATCCAGAATATATGAAGAATTTAAAAAAATAGATACTTGGAAATAAAAGACTCAAAAATGGGTAACTGAAATTAATAAACACTTCTCAGAAGATAGGGAGGGTTGAAGGATTTGAAGGGAGAGCAGGGAAATGGGGAAAAAATAAGAAGCAAGATACATCATGCAAAGGTATAAGTTCCAATGACGACTGTAATCATATTGTATACCTAAAATGTACTAAGAAATTTAATGAAAAAATAAATATATGAAAAAATGTTCAACATCTCTGGCCGTTAAAGAAATGCAAATTAAAGCAATGGTGAGAGAGAACAGTTTAGAGAGGTTAATAATTTGACAAATGGAAGGGATCTAGGGGATGGCATGTAATCATTATGTACTACAAACAAATAATAATAAAAAATTAAAACTAAAAAGTGGCTAAGAAAAGCTTTGGATATATTCTGAAACAAAAATTAAAATTTAGAAATTTCCAAAAAGCAGACTTTAGGAAGAGCACAGTCTTAAATAGGAGTGCAGACAGATCAGTTCGGCATTCTACACTGCATAGTGGGGGACTTGACAGTTCATCAGCATCAGCTCAGATGCTGAAATGCTGGGCAGACCATTTTATCCCCTTAAGTTTGTTGGGCCATTTAAAGCAAACAATACAGTTACATTTATCATTGGGATCTTGACTTTACATGATATGTCTTGGTTCTTATTTTTTCCCCATACCCCTGAATCTCTTTCATCTCCTTCACCCTTCCCTATTTACAAAGACTTAGTTTCTGTTTTTTCACATTTTTTATTTTCCCTTATTTCCTTTTCCCTCTCCTTCCCACTCCCCTTTAGTAGAACTTTTGACTGGGGAGATATGATTAAAATGTGGAACCCACCAGAGAGAAGGATTTCAGACACATATTCTTGGTTTTCAATGGGCACTACTGAAAATCCACATAGTGTGTGCACATAATGGCAACTGGGAAGCTGACTTAGCTTCAAATATGCTTCATTGCAGACTGGACTAACATATACCCCTACTTTTCCTGACCAAGCAAAGTAGACCCTCTGTGGATGTGGGTAACATCATCCAGAGCACCTAGAGATCTCATACACAAGGAATAGCACTCAGTAAATACTACCACATTACCAGGATACCGAACTCAATGAACAAAAACTAAGAGAAAATAACTGAAGTAAGACAGAACGATAGGTAATCCAGATGTTGGTATATTGAGATAAGGACTTTGTGGTTAATGTATTTGATATATGTTTAAGATGAAGCTATTGTCAGAGAACTGGAATCTATTTAAAAAATAATCAAGTGGAAAACCTGGGCACTGAAAAATAATTCAAATTAGGAAGTCAATGCATAAGATAAATAGAACATAAAACAAACTAAAAAAGAATTAATAAACTAGAAAACAAATCCATGGGAAATATTCAGACTGTAGGATGGAAAGAAATAAAAAAATGAATAATATACAGGATGTAAAATGTGCAGTTAACATTTTAGTGGATAGAGAAAGAATGTACTAAAAGACATATTTTAAAGGCAAATGACCAGGAATTTCTCCAAAAGTAAGAAATAATCATGTTACAGATTATTCAAGGTCTTAAAACATTAACAATGTAAATACATATAAAGCTTTTAAAAATTAAAACAACATACTTAAGCAAAAAACATTAAAGGTGCTGTAACATAGAAACAAGGAAAAATGAAAAAGCAGCTGGCTAGACAAGTGGATGTGAGAATAGAAAGATATATTACCAGCAAAGAAGCAATACAAAGACTGACAGCAAAATTTCAACAAATGTAATGCAAGTCAGAATACAAAGAAAGACATTTTTAGATTGCTAAAAAAAAACCTGCCAATTTATAATTCCATATCAAATAAAAATAACCTTCAGCAATGAAAGTAGGGAAAAGCCAGTTTCAGCTTAAAACAATCCGAAATAATTTGTTAGCAGTAGATCTGGTCTACAAAACAGAATAAAGTGGTAAAGCGTGTGTATGTGTGTGTGTGTGTGTGTGTGTGTGTGTGTGTGGGGTGAGGGTATTAAGTTTTTAATCAGGTAGGAACATAAAAATGAAAAGGTATAAAAAACAAAAAGATTAGTAAGTTTAAATATCATTTACACAAATAATAACTTGCAGGATTTAAAATACAGGTAGAATTAAAAGTGATTGGCTGTTTTCCTCACTTTCCTGTTGTGAGACACCATACTCAGCACTCACAGTGCAAGGGAGGAGAGGTTTATTTTGGCTCATGGTTTCAGAAATGTTAACCGTGGTTGGCAAGCTGTAAGGCAGAAATGGCACGGTTGCTTCTGCCATGAAGCAAAGCCACTCAAGTCACAGTGGCCAGGAAACAGAGTGAGAAGGAAGGAGCGGGGTGTGGGGAGTGGGACTGGGGGACAGGACTGGGGATAGGCAGAACCCATCCAGGTCACAGCTACCTCCCCAACCAGGTCCCACTCCCAACGGGGTGCTTAGCTCTGAACTCTTTGTGGATTAGTATGTTGGTGTGCACAGCATCCTAATGATACAGTCACCTTTCAACAGCCCCACCTCTCAACACACGAGGCTTTGGGGGGATGTTCTAGATCTAAACCATAACAACAGCTACTATACAAATTATGAGATGAAAAATACAGTCAGAGTTTTCTAAAATCTCTGCATTGAGAAGACACTGGTGCAGGAAAATGGATAGATCTTGACAGAGGTTAAGTGAAACAAGTGACACAGAAAAGTTAAACATTTCGTGATTTCTCTTATATAAGAAACCCAATTATAAAGAAAGAGTAAAATAAAGATAGACTTTTCAAAGTAAATAAAAGGGATTGGGGGAAGGGAAATGGGTAGGGAAGGGGTAAAGAGATTGAAAATGATCGAGATTTGTTACATAGATATAACATTTCCCCCAAAGCAAATGCAAATACCATGTGTTGCAAACATATACCAATATACAAAAAGAAGACATTGGTGAAAATATTAAATTTTATTGTACTCTTAGAAAATCAAGAATTCATATTGCTATATCTTGGTTAATTATTGTGAGAACAGTAAATTATAGATAAAGAAAAATTAGTCCAAAATAATACATCTATACTAAAAAGAGGCACCAAAGAAGAAGAAAGGAGCATGAAACCTACGGAACAGATAGAAAACAACAATTAAAACAGTAGATATAAACACTAAACTAGCAATAACATTAGATTTATTCACATTGAATGTCCCTATTGAAAGACAAAGATTCAGAACTTGAATAAAAATATATTCACTGGAATCACATAGATGCACTTGAATCTCCTAGGGCCATCAACCAGGAAAGCAAACCTGAGCCTTGGGGTTCAGGGTTTTTATTAGGGGTCAGTTGTGTGGTTTTGTAGTACTTTGTCTGACTAATTTCATCTACTTGGTCATACTCTAGCACCCTAATCCAGAAAGAAGAATTCACCACAATTTGCACCTAGAAGATTGTCCTGAGTTTCTCTTGCACTTCACCAGGTACATTCTTCCTGTGTGCATTTTAATGGCTGTCTTTTTGCTATATAAAATCACCAGCACGAGTAGCCAGATTTTCTGAATCCCGTGAGTCCTTCTAGTAAGTCAGTGAGTCTGAGGACCCACTGGTGTGGGGACCCACTAAATTACTGATATCAGAATAAAGGGATAAGAAATTATTTTAAATATAACAAATTTAAACTGATATATTGAAAAAGTGGCAGAATCAGCATATTAATAGAAAAAATGCAACTAAATTAAACTGGCAAGGTAGAATATATGAATAACTGCGCATCAACTAAAATGGTCTGCAAAATTAAAAGCATGCTTATAAAGAAAAGCAACCATCCCCCACACAAATGTAATCTCCAGGTCCACATTCTTTCATAGTGGAATTTTAACTATCAGTTAAGAAAATCATTATTCCTAAAACAGGAAATTAGGAAACATTTTGGAGTCATAATACTAATGTACAAAAAGAAATTTAAGAAAATTGCAGATGAATTTCTCTTATACTCATAGATGACAAAATCATAAAAATGTTAATAAGCTCAAATCAATGAAATACACATATCGACACATCATACATCTAAATAGCATAACCTTTCTCAGGAATGCAAACTGGGCTTGCCAGTAAAAGCAATTGAAATATCATTTGTAATTGTGAAAGAATAAAAGGAAAAACCATGCCACCTCAACAGAAACAGAGAAAAAACATTTGATTAAAATTAAATGCATTTAGCTAACAAAAGTTTCAAACTAAGAAACTACTTCTTTAATATTATAAAAATACAGAGAATCTATAGAAAATGCCATTTAGAGAAAACATTAAAAAACTTTTTCACTGAAATTGAAAATGCGTCAGGAACACTTGTCACTATTAATTGTAGCAACATTCTAAAAGATTTTACCAATAAAATAAAGTAATAAAAGGATGTAAAGTTATGACAAAATGCTTTGTACAAGGCATGATTATTATACATACACTGGACATAAACTATAAAAGTTAATAAGTAAAGTTAATATTCAGTTCAGAAACAAAAATTTTAAGAGTTGCCATTTGAAACTCTTAAAATGTTAAATATTTAGGAATAAATCTAACAAGATTTTCAAGGTCTTACAAAAATGTAACAACATATTGCAATAAATTAAAGAAACTAAAGAAAGATATATAATGTTTAAAATTGAGAAAATTTATTAGTTACAAATGTAAACGCTCCCATAATTGATTTATAGAGTCAATGCAACTTCAGTTTTAAAAATCTCAACAAGTTTTCTTTGGAGAATTTGGCAAGCTCAAACAAAATGTAAACAGAATTGCACTGAGTCAAGTAAAGCATAACTGACTTATGAAAAATAAAATTACAGAATTCAGTTTTTGAGATATCAAGATTCATCACAGTAGTTAAGAGGGTTTGATATTTGCTTATTAATAGTTACACAATTAAATATAATAGAGAATTTTCAAAAACTGAGACTAAAATTAATGGGTGATTGCAGTAGAAAAGGGTGTTTTTTTTTAATGTAGTGGTAGCTTAGTCGAATATCATTATAGAAATTAATCTTAGTTTCAGTTTTATACCAAAAGCATGGATAAGCTCCACACAGGTTTTAGATCTCAATGTAAAAGCTGAGATAATAACTCTCCTGAAGGTGATATAGTAGAATATTTGCCTGGAGTAACCAAAGATATTTTAAATGTGCACAAACAGCCCCAACTCTAAAGGAAAAAGTGATTGATAAATTGGGCTTTTAAAATTAGAAGAGTGGAAAGCACAGGAGGATGGGAGGTGATATCGTAACTGGTGTGTCTGACACAGAGCTAATATTCAGAATACATGGTCAAATTCTGCCCATGGAGAACAGAATGCACAGCCCAAAAGCATAACACACAAGAAGGACTAAACAGGCACTCTTACACTAGAGAAGATCCAAACAGCCAGGCCACACATACAGTGTACTGACCTCATTAGCCAGTAAGAGAAATTAAAACTATAATAAAATATACCTGCATGCACTAGAATGGCTAAGATTTTTTTAAATATGTAAAAATTTCTATCATTGATGAAGATGATACTCTTCTACACAGGGCAGGATTGTGCATTAGTGCAGCTAACTTTGAAAACTCTAGTAATTTCTTCTAAACTGAATGTAATATAAAGCCAATTTATCAATCCTTTTTAAAGTTGGAATTTTTTGTTCATTTTAAAGAGATTTTTGCTAACTACCTGAACATATTCTCCTATATCGTCTTCTGGAGAGTTATTATTTTAGCTTTTACACATAAATTCCACTGATAAATACATACCTAGCAGAAACATCCAAAAATGCATACAAAGTACGGACAAGAATATCTTTAGCAGTATCCTTAGGAGCCAAAAATATGGAAAAACTTTAATGTTTAGCAGCGTACAATATTTTACATCAATGAAAATTGGGTAAATCGCTTCTGCCAGTAAAAACATGGATGAACCCTACTGATGAAAACACATTTTTAAATGAAGAAAACCAGACACATAAAAGTACTAATTATGTAACTCTTTTATACAGGTTGAAAACAGATAAAGTTAACCTGTGTTGTAAGAAGTCAAGAAAATGCCTTTGGAAAAAGAGGAGCTTTGATGTGGACAAGACAAAAACCGAATTTTTAAAGTACTGGTTAAGTTTTATATATTGATCTGAATAGTGGTTACACAGATAGGTTCACTTGTGAAAATGTATTGAGCTGAACATGTTTGGTTTATTTAATGTTATACTTTAATAAAAACTTGATTACAAAGAAAAATGTTGTGTCTGGGTAAAAGAGATTTAATTTCCAGTTTTCATAGTACTTGAAGGGAAAATGTCCTTTCTTCCCTATGTGGAGTACTAAAGGGAAGACAGAAGTAACAACAGTCTCACCCATGTACTAATGTTTTGACCAGGGTGACCCAGGTTGCAAGTTTTTAAAGCACTGCCAGTATTTTCCCTTGTGATAAAAATTAAGGATGTAAGTATTCATGCTTTCTTTCCAGTCATGGAGAACTAAATCATTATCATTAAAAGATTTTACCCTGCACTTGGGATAGGGATAAAGGATGTTCTGTCCATGACTGACACAGAATGAACTAACTGCTAAGAAAAGAATACCTCCTTTGGAAAGACAGCCAGTCTGCCAGTGGTAACTCACTAGCTTTTGCTGCTCAGAGCCCAGCTGGGATCACTGCAGCATTTACCCCAGCTGACAGCTTTTCTGTGGTTTATGGGAACTACCCCATCATTTACCAATTACTTTCCTCTGTGCTTTCTGCTAGTTGAAATGAGCTCTGATATTTGAAATCAAAGAAGCCTGGTTGAAGTGCCGTGTTTCTGGTTTGCACAGAGTGGAGCCCCTGGGTTTTTCATAGCAAGGATAAAACTGGCAAATACACTCTTCAAGAAAGAAAAAAAGAGGAGCTGGGGGTTTATCTAGTACTTACCTAGAGTGTGCAAGGCCCTGAGTTTGATCATCTGCCAGGAGTTTGGGGTAAGACCCCTTATGTGGCATCCTCAAAACCTTGTGATTGCCTACAACCAACAGAGAAGGTGTGTACTATGGAGTTAATATCATTTTTTCCAATCCATTTGTGTTTCTCCTCTGCTATACTGTTTATTCCACATAGGATGCTGTAGGGTAAAGAAACTTTCATAATGAATTCATAATGGGAAAAAACATCATCACATCATATCTTTGGGGAGCATAGAGAAGTAAAATGCTTAACATTTTGATCTGGGCCGTTTTTGAAAAGAGTACATTCTTAAATTTGGGGATTTGAGCACTTAACAGTGGGCAGTGACAGCAAGAAGAATTATGTCTTCATAAGCATAGCAACGTGAACAATAATAGTACTAATAAAAGCTCATGTTTCTTGAGTACATACTATATGCCAGACACAGTGCTAAGCATTTCACAGGCACTATTTCATCCTTCTATCATCCAACTAAGATAGAAGTATCAGCTCCCGAGAGCAAGGAATTATGACTGATTTTCTCATTGTGTTTCAAGACACTTGGAAGTATACCGGGTTTGTTAGAAGATAGTCAACATTTGGTGAGTTCGTCAAATGAATGTTTTGTCTTGTAACTATCTCCATTGCATATGTCCATGGAGAAAGGGTGTTAAATAATTTCCCGTGGTAAGAAGCAACAGAGTAAGGTTGTTGTTTAGTTCTTCATCCTCCAAGGACTAGAATATTAACCATTATCCTATTTTGAAGTTTTAGAGGAAACAAAAGTGGTCAGAGTTTGGAAAGGGCTTTGATACAGTGGTTACATCCAAATGATCTTGGACCTAAATCTTACATGACTTTAGTACTGGTCCTTTGGTCCAAGCCAAGTGGTGATGTCCCTAGGATGTTGGAGAGAGGTAGGGAGTGAGCAGGGTACCACTCCATACCCACCTGTTCACACAGAAAGAAACTGTTGGCTTTATTGATGACTCCTAGTACTCAATAAACCATTTTTATTTGCTCACTCTTAAGAATCATGGAAAACTTTTCATATTCAGATTAATTACAAAGTGGACGCCATTGTAGGCTTGACAGATTACCAAACTGTGTATTCCAAGAAAGGAAGACACAGAGGCATAACTGAACACTACTTTTAAAGTAGTGTTCCCTTAAAGATTTGGTGCATTCTGTCTGAACCATCTATTAGTGGCAGTTTCCTTTTCCTCTCTCCCACTCTGAATTAAGAAATGATGTCATCAGCAGAGACAATTTCTCTCCCTGCTTTTTTCTACAGATGTCTTTTACTTCTTTTGCTTCCCTAATTATTCTGGATAGGTGGGAGTAAGATTTGAACCCAGGCAGGCTGACCCATATTCCATTACTTTAATGACTGTTACCTCTTCCCCCACCTGCCTCTGTCTATAAAAATATGGACCATGGGAATATCTCACTTTCTTAGTGAGGCTCGAGTTCATTGAGTTCTTAGCAATGCATTTGCCCAAAGAGTAGGCATTTA